ACAAGCTAGAACAAATAGTTCTAAAATTCACATGGAACCACAGAAGACCCCTAATAGCCAAAGCAATCCTGAGAAGGAAGAATAAAGCTGGTGGGATTAGGCTCCCTGACTTCAAGCTCTACAACAAAGCCACAGTAATCAAGACAATTTAGTACTGACACAAGAACAGACCCCCAGACCAGTGGAACAGAATAGAGTCCAGATATTAACCCAAACATATACAGTCATTTAATATATGATAAAGGAGCTGTAGATATACAATGGAGAAATGACAGCCTCTTTAACAGCTGGTGTTGGCAAAACTGGACAGCTACATGTAAGAGAATGAAACTGGGTTACTGTCTAACCCCACACACAAAAGTAAATTCGAAATGGATCAAAGACCTGAATGCAAGTCATGAAACCATAAAACTCTTAGAAAAAAACAGGCAAAAATCTCTTGGACATAAATATGAGCAACTTCTTCATGAACATATCTCCCTGGGCAAGGGAAACAAAAGCAAAAATGAACAAGTGGGACTATATCAAGCTGAAAAGCTTTTGTACAGCAAAGGATACCATCAACAGAACAAAAAAGACATCCTACAGTATGGGAGAATATATTCATAAATGACATATCTGATAAAGGGTTGACATCCAAAATATATAAAGAGCTCATGCACCTTAACAAACAAAAAGCAAATAATCCAATTAAAAAATGGGCAGAGGAGCTGAACAGACACTTCTCCAAAGAAGAAATTCAGATGGCCAACAGGCACATGAAAAGATGTTCCTCATCCCTAATCATCAGAGAAATGCAAATTAAAACCACAATGAGGTATCACCTCATACCAGTAAGAATACCACCATCCAAAAGACAAACAACAAATGTTGGTGAGGTTGTGGAGAAGGGGAACCCTCCTACACTGCTGGTGGCAATGTAAAGTAGTTCAACCATTGTGGAAAGCAGTATGGATGTTCCTCAAAAAAGTAAAAATAGAAATACCATTTGACCCAGGAATTCCACTCCTAGGAATTTACCCTAGGAATCCAGCAGCCCAGTTTGTAAAAGACATATGCACCCATATAGTTATCACAGCAATATTTAAAATAGCCAAGCAACCTAAGTGTCCATCAGTAGATGAATGGCTAAAGAAAATGTGGTACATATACACAATGGAATATTATTCAGCCATAAGAAAACAAATCCTACCATTTGCAACAACATGGATGGAGCTAAAGGGTATTATGCTCAGTGAAATAAGCTAGGTGGAGAAAGACAAGCACGAAATGATTTCACTGATCAGTGGAGTATAAGCACAAAGAAAAAAACTGAAGGAACAAAACAGCAGCAGACTCACAGAACCCAAGAATGGACTAACAGTTACCAAAGGGAAAGGGACTGGGGAGGATGGGTGGGAAGAGATTGGTAAGGGGAAAAAAAGCAGCATTACTATTAGCAGACATAATGTGGCTGGGGGCATGGGGAGGACTGTACAACACAGAGAAGACAAGTAGTGATTCTATAGCATCTTACTAAGCTGATAGACAGTGACTGTAATGGGGTGTGTGTGGGGGACTTGATGATGGGGGGAGTCCAGTAAACATAATGTTGCTCATCTAATTGTAGATTAATGATACAAAAAAAAATTGGAGTATATGAATAGACACTTTTCCGAAGAAGAAAATCAGATGACCAACAGGAATATGGAAAAATGCTCCACATCACTAATCATCAGGGAAATGCAAATTAAAACCACAATGAGATATCACCGTACATCAGTTAGGAATGGCCAATATCAAAAACACAAGAACAACAAATGCTGACAAGGATGCGAAGAAAGGGGAACCCCTCCTACACTGCTGGTGGGAATGTAAATTAGTTCAACCATTGTGGAAAGCAATATGGAGGTACCTCAAAAAACTAAAAATAGAAATACCATTTGACCCAGGAATTCCACTCCTAGGAACTGACCCTAAGAAAACAAGTTCCCAGTTTCAAAAAAACATATGCACCCCTATGTTTATTGCAGCACTATTTACAATAGCCAAGATATGGAAGCAACCTAAGTGGCTATCAGTAGATGAATGGATAAAGAGGTGGTACATATATATAGTGGAATATTATTCAGTTGTAAAAAAACACAAATCCTACCATTTGCAACAACATAATGGAGCTAGAGAGTATTATGCTCAGTTAAATAAGGAAGGCAGAGAATGACAAGTACCAAATCATTTCCCTCATTTGTGGAGTTTAGCAACGCAAAACTGAAGGAACAGCAGCACACTCAGACTCCAAGGGAGCAGTAGGTAGCAAAGGGATTGTGTTGGAGAGGGTGGGGGCAGAGGAGAAGGGGATTAAAGGGCACTGGAATTAGCAATCATAATATAGGTAGGTGATGGGGAAGGCAGTACAACATAGAAAGAAGTAATGACTCTGTAGCATTTTAATACACTGATGGGCAGTGACTGCAATGGGTGGAGGTGAGGACTTGATAATATGGGTGAATGTTGAAACCATAATGTTGTTCGTTTGAAAACTTCTTAACACTGTATATCAATGATAATTTTATTAAAAAAATAAAGTAACAAAAAAAAATCAAGGATGACTTCAAAATTTTTAGCCTTAACTGGGAGAGTGGAATTGCCCTATCATGAAGAGAAGACTTAATCAGAATTTGGGGGGAAACAGGAGCTCGGTTTTGGTTGTATTGTTTGTGATGCCTGTTAGCCATTCAAGCAGTGCTATAAAGTTAAGCGTGAACTCAGTGTTCAGGGAAATGTATGATACATAGATTTAAATGTGGGTTTCATTGAGCCACTGATCTGGATGTGATTGCCTAGGTAGAGAGAACAGAGAGTGGAGAAGCAGTCTAAGTTGTGAGTTTTGAATTTGAGGCACTCCAGCATTTTGAGGCTGGAAAATGAGGAAGTAGGAAGGAGACTAAGGAATAGCGATTAAGGAAGAGCAGCAAGAGAGAAATACAGAATGGAATCCTAATAGGCAAGAGTAGGAGCTTCAGGAAGAAGAATAAGTCATCAACTGTGTCAAATGTTGACAGGTGATGTGAGAGGAAAGCTGAGAAGTAAAAACTGGATTTGAGAATATGGAGGCTACTAATGACCTTAAGCAATTTCAGCTGTGTGGGACTCAAGGGCGACAAGGTGGAGATGTGGTTTTTCCATATGGGAGAACAGACCAGAGCAATTTGGTAGTATTTGGAGGGAGATACAGGTCAAGAGGTTATTATTATTTTAAGATGTTAGCTACAAAACACAATTATAAGTTCACAGAAGTGTCCCAACTGAGAAGAAAAAAATTCACAAGGAAAGTAGACAATTCCAAGAGCAAAATGGAACCCAATGCATATAAGTTTGTTCTTTGGAATTGGGAGTTTATTCAAGTTACTGGAGTGTGGCAGTGGATTCAGATGTAGGAAGGTTGTTAGATGCAATAGTGGGAGTATACAGGCGCTGTTACTGATTTCTACTTCTTAGAGGTAAGAAGCAAGATAATGACTTTAGAAGATGTTAAACAGCTGTCTAAGAAGGCAGGATAAATGCATTAAGGAAATTAACCTGAGGGGGTGAGAACACGGGTTCACTTCAGAGTTAGCGGCTGTGTGTCTTCTTCCAGCCAAGTTCAATTGCTCTTATGCAAGCGTAGCAAACCAGAATTGTGGTTTAGCCATGTAAAATGGAAGAGAGAAGCAAAGGAATGAAGGTATTTGCAAAGGTTAACAATGGATAATGGAACCTCAGGCAATGAGATGCATTTTAAATAAGTGGGTATAACATTTAGAAGAGTCCTTTAGTAAACTGTCGATTCTCATTATTTGAGGTGATTATGTTCTAGTCACCATGCATGTTAATCTGCTGCTAGGGGAAATACAGGGTTAAGTTCCTGAGTGACTCTGCTCACATCATTTTCATCAACCCATCAAGACAAAGCTTTGTTTTATGTGTTTCTGCTTAGACACCTTACTTAATACACACTTTTGATTCATTAACATTTAACTCATCATGGCCGACAGCACTGTTAAACCCGAATGGAGTTTATCTAGGACAAGTTTTCTCCCCAAAGCACATCAGCCTTCCTGTACTTAGGAATACCAGACAGCACTTCAGCACTATGCTTAGAGGGCACTTAAAACAGCAAAACCAGCAGCGAAAAGCATGAAAAATGTGAAAAACATACTGTGAAGAGCGCATTTGTTTACAGTATGAAAGCTGAAATAATTAAGCTGAGTGTTGCCTAACCTCAGCTGGGAATGTTTCAGGAAGGTTGTATTTTTTGCTATTCTGTTCGTCCATGAATGCAGTCATGTATCGGTTTTAAGGTTACAAGTGAGTAGGCAATTTGCAAATATAGAAGGTGTAAAGAATGAGGACTGCACATTGCATGGAACTGTTTTCCCCATAGCTCAGCCTAATTTGCTGTTTTTGATCAAATAGTATGTATCACTTTCAGTGCATGATTATCAAACAAGAAATTAGTAATACATTTTGTTGCCAGTTTTCAGAGTTTTTGCCTATTATAATCTGCTGTCTACTGTTTTCAATATATTTGTTATAAAAGTGTTAGAAGTGGCAGGTAACACTAGATTTTCCTCATTTCAGTCAGTGGCAGTTTTCTTAGTGACTGACTACGTAAGTGGACATGAACAGGCTTTTACTGGCCCTCACAAACAGCAGTTGACAAAGTTATTATTTATTTTTTTCAATCAGTTGTAATTTCAGGACCTTTCCCTCACATCATTCAATCTCTTCATTAGGCCTAGCAATCATATAACTTGTTGGATACCAAATAAATCACTTTTTTTACTGTTTTGGAGGGGTCTTGTTTGTGCTGGTGTGTTTCCTATTTCGCCTTATTCTTCTAAATAGTTGTATGCTGACTTTGTTTACCACAATTATTCTCATTAAATTGCCTTACGAAGTTAAGAACAGGAAGTAAGGAAAAAACTCACAAGATCTGAATACCAACCACCACCCTCAGGTCAACCTTAATTTCGTTATACCTGGCTTATTTCCTCCCAATGTGCCACTGTTGCCATTGCAGCGGAATACACGACTCAGTTTGTAACAATGTCATTTACCACACCCTATGCCTTTTATTCACACGCTGAAATTTCCAACAGCATTTTCTTTCAACAAACTTGAGCGTGGAAAGGAACTAGAAGAGAAAAAAAAAAAGGGGAAATAAAAAAAGGCTAGGGGGAGGATGGAAAATATTACACAAACATTAGGCGGCTCAACACTTTACCCGGGGAACCCATCCTCGTAAATCCCTCAGTCTGTTCCGGCGATTGAATTCTCTGCCCCACGCGGCGCCCCTTCCTCAACCCCCACCTCATAGCCGCGCGCGCTCGCGACCTCCTCGCACGCGGCGCAGTGCCCCCTAAGTCCCTCAATTCGCCCGTCCTCGCTCGGCAGGCCTGCCTTCGCGCACGCCTGTGGGAGTAACTTACTTCTGAATCGCAAACGGGCGAGCTGCGGGCGGCCCCTGCCAGCCCAAGGCCGGGCGCGCGCTCGGCGTCCGGCGAGGGGCAGCTGCCCAGGGCGGGTTCCGGCTCCAGGGAGCGGGAGGGACGGAGCAGGGGCGCGCGGCCCTCCGCCCTGAGGGCTGCTTCCGTCGCGGCTGGGTGAGGGAACTCCTCGGTAGCCACCGGCCCGTCGCCGACCAGGGGTTTCCGACCACCTCGCCAGAGCCCGAAGGGGCGGAGGCCGGCGTCCGGAGAGCTCACCCAAGGGCACCCTCCCACCGCCCCGTGCCTCTGAGCGCACGCGCAGGAGCCGCAGCCTCCTTTATTTAGTCTGCGATGGCTCCTCTCGCGTCCCACCGTCCTCCTCCCGAAGGCGGCTCCCTCCCTGCGCACGCAGGCGTTCCTGGGACCAGCCTGGAGCCGGTCCCCGAGCAGGACTATCCCTAAACTGGAACGTCGGTGGTCTGCCTTGCGCGTGAGGAAAAGCGGCGGCAACCGGAAAGAGAGGACGGTTAACGAGGAGGCGAGCCAGGCCTCGGAGGAAGAGGAAGGCCGGGGAGAGCCGAGGTTTGCCGAAGGCGGCGTTCCCGAGCTTCGCGGGGTGGGGAGGAAGGCAGAGGCTAGGAGAGGAGGGGCGCAGCGGAAACTGCCGAGGTTTTCCGAAGGCCGCAGAGTCCGAATTGCCCGGATGTAGTTGGTGGAGCGGCAGCGGCGGCACCAGCGGCGGCGGCGGCGGCGGCAGGAGGGGGAGAAGGGCCAGGCAGCGGCAGCGGCGGGGGGAGGAGGGGAGGAGGCGGCAGAGCAGGAGGAGGAGAAGGCGAAGGAGGCAGTCGCTCTCCGCGGGGCTGAGCCGGACGCGTCTTCTTGCCCCCCTCCCCCCGGTTCGCCGCTGCCGCCGCGTAGTTGGCGCTGCTGCCCGGGCTGAGCGAGCGTGGTGTCGGAGGAGGGAGATGGCCCGGGGTCGCCGGCGCCAGTAACGGGAGGTGCTGAGAGTCGCAGAGGGCGCGCTGGGCCCTGGTGCCGGTGGTGCCGCCCGCCCGCCGCCTGCGCGCCTGCCCGCCCCGCGCGGCCGCCCTCCCCCCTCCCCGACACACGCTCACAGGCCGGGCATTGATGGTAATGTATGCGAGGAAACAGCAGAGACTCAGTGATGGGTAAATCGTCTTTTCGTTTCGGGCCCGGCCGCAGCGGTGCGGGGGGCGGCGGCGGCGGCGGCGCGGGTGGAGGTGGAGGGGGGGGCTGTTCCTCCTTATCTGGTGCTGGCCGAGCCGCCATTTTTGTTGTTAACCCTGATCCGGATCGGGCTGGGGAGGAGGAGCCGCGCGGGCGGCAGGCACGGAGTGAGCGCGGCCAGAGCGGAGGGCCGGGTTCGCGGCGTTTGGCGCTCGTTGCCGCCTTCGGGCCGTGTGTGTGCGTGAGTGAGTGAGTGTGGGCTCGTCGCCGGTACGTTCGGTAGAACTCCCGCGGGGAGGGGCCCTGATGGGGGGGGCACCCGTTTTCTTCCTCTCCCCGCACCAGATGTCTTATGTCGTTGTCTCTCTTCCTGTTTTTCAGCTGTCACGACCGGAGGGGGGACTCGCAGCCTTACCAGGTACCAGCCGAGGCCGGGGTGGAGGGGGTGGGTGGGGGGACGTTGGGGGAAGGGAGGAACTGCTACTCGAGCGCAGGCTTCAGAAGTCGCTACAGGCCTTTCGGTGCAAGAAATCCGAAACTAGAACCGCAGGGCCCCTTAAAATTTGGTGTTTGGCCCCATTTAGCGCCCTCCAGCAAGGTTTAGTGACTTACTTTGACAGGTGATTGGAGGAAGTTCAGGTTTTTTAGTGGGGAGGGGGAATCATTCTCAGCCAGGAAGGACCTGACTTGATTATTTGGGTGTAAAGGAATCGATAGGATGAGGAGATAGATGACTTCTGAGCCATACTTATTTGTACTATTAGGGAACCAAAAATGTAAAGATGTTAAAATGAGATGAGAACCCTGGGAATAAACAATTAACTGATTTGCAACTCTTGTGTGTTGTAAACCACTATTCCTTCCAATCTTAATTTTTGTGTGTGTGCAAATATCTGCCTTACCAGTGAAAGATAAGTGTTTTTGTTTGTCTAAGAATTGGGATCTTTGCATACTTGGATAATTCATTCTAACGTAGGTGGTTCTAGGTTCCTTTTTGTTACTTAGTTGCTGCAGATAAAGTTTTTAGAAACTGTTAGAAGTGGCCCCTGTTCTCAGGATGAAAAATTTCATAAATGCTTGGTAAGTATGAAATGACACCAGAACTACAATTGGCCTTTGAACTACATGGATTTGAAAGTGTGGGGCCACTTATACACGGATTTTTTTCAATAAGTAATTGGAAGTCTGGAGATTTGCGACAATATGAAAAAACGTGCAGATGAATTGCATAGCCTAGAAATAGTGAAGATGCTAAGAAAAAGCTAGGTGTGTCATGAATGTGTAAAATTCATGTAGATACTTGTCCATCATTTACTGTCATAAAACCAGAAGAAGGCTTTATTAAGTTTTTGGGGAGTCAAAAGTTATCCTGGGTATTCCACTGCTGGAGTTGGTGCCCCTAACCACATGTGCTGTTTAAGGGTCAATTGTAAATATTTTCTTCATGTAATCACTTAAAGGATAGGAGAGCAGGTTTCCAAGCCGATAGCTCTATTACTGGCTAGCATGAATTGTTAAAGCTCAAGTTGCAAACCCTAGGTGTCTGGTGTGTAAAACTGTTCATTATCTTTGGATAAATCAAGGATTAAACCTTACTGAATACAGCTCTCTGAAAGCATATTAGTTACACCTTGTAAAAAACTGTTATACAGTGGTTGTCTTAAATATGTGTTAAAACTAAACCATTATTGTGAGGGAGTTCCGTAAGTTCCATTATGTTACAAGTATTGGCCTACATTTTTAGGCCTTCATATTGTTTCTGACAGCTGCAAAAGTAGGTAAGTTGAGGTCTGAGATGCTTTATTTGAATCTAAGAATTAGAGAATATGATACTTTCTTTGTAGTTTTGCAGAAACATACTTACAATATTTATACTTGTGTCTGTGCATATTCGTTGTAGAGCAAAAACTGATTATAGTGGTACTCAGTTTCTACTTTTCTTTAGATTAAAATTAATTCCCAGAAAAATTTGTTGAGTAATTAATTTACCAAAATATTTGATTTCTTGTACTTTCAAGATACTAATGGAGTGGATTTCTTTTTAACACATGGTGGTGTGTTTTGTATGAAGAGTCTTAAAATAACTCTTAGACATTTGGACTTTGAATAACTTAATGGCAGAATTGAAAATGGAAATTTAATTTTACTGATGTAAATTCATGAAGCTTTGTGAATACACCAAATTTTATCATAAAATTGATTAAGGAAGCTAAGTTTAAAGTTTCAATTCTTTCTCTCTTTTTTTGGGGGGGGTGATGTTTTACAGGCACTTAAGTATTCATCGAAGAGTCACCCCAGTAGTGGCGATCACAGACATGAAAAAATGCGAGACGCCGCAGATCCTTCACCACCAAATAAAATGTTGCGGAGATCTGATAGTCCTGAAAACAAATATAGTGACAGCACAGGTCACAGTAAGGCCAAAAATGTGCATATTCACAGAGTTAGAGAGAGGGATGGTGGTGAGTAGCTTTTTGTTGAAACTTTTACATGTATTTAACAATAGCTCTATATAAAATGATAGGTGGCAGAAATATTTCCAGCTTGCGGACTTTACCATATGGTTATGTTATCGCAATATTTTATTTCTATCAGTTTATTTGATTTCCTAAACAGGTTACTATAGAAATAATGTGCTGACCTGAACATCTTAAAATGGACCCCGGTATAGTGGATACTAAGAGAATACACTTACAAGTTTAGTTTACCAAATGTGTTAATAAAGAGAGAAATGCAGGCCATTTTTTCAAGGAAGGAACGTTCCCCTTTTCAAGTAAACATTTCAATTTTTTTGGCTTAGTTTATTTTGAGGTCCTTGATGGTGCCTAAATTTATATTTTAGGGAATTTAAATGTGTTTTTTAGTGATAAATTACGAATTTAAAAACCTAGTAAGTTTTTGAGACAGTTCACAGGTTTTAAAAAAAAGTGATTCAGGATACCCTTTTGGGTTTTTGTTGTAAACATTTAAAGTATCATTTTCCATGTTCTCCAGGATCATCTTAATGTAATTTCTAAACTCCATTCAAATACTCAACTTTTTAAAAGTTAGCTTCATTTCTTTTGTTCATTGTTGTTAACCTCCAGTTATTATTATTACCTTGCTTAAAGATCTTGTAGGAGGTTGAGGAAAAACTCATAGTAACTATTTTCAGACTTAATTTGGCCGGAGTTTACCAAAATAGTAAGATTTCGTGTTTGAAGCATGCATTGAGGAACAAACAAGTTTCACTGAGGTCATTAAGACATCCATATTTTTTACCACTGTAAGATTTTGTATTACTCAATAGTTAACATGTTTGAAGTAAACACATAATACTAGTAAGCTTCTAAGGAAATAGTGTGAGTACCCTGTGGTTTTCTGCCTCAGATTGTCAAGTAGCAAGCTTCTCAGTTCTTCGCTCACTTAAAAAATTACCTGCATTTTTTGATCCTCTCTTGCTTCCTAGGGTAACAGTCAATTTTAATAAGTGTGGTCACATTTTGAGACACTGGCTTCCTCTGTATGTAATTATTAGGTTGAGGAAATTAATAGTGGTCAGAAGATTGCATTGGGTTGGAAAAATTTGGATGTTTATTTAATGGGAGGAAAAGAGAGTTCTTGGTTGAATAGACATATAGCTTTGTGCTGTTTCTGCCGATAAATTATTTTTGTAAGAGCAGTTAGGTTTGGCTATTACAGTGTTAGAAGTTGTTAGGCAAATTTTCTTACACTATTACAATTTCAATTGTGGGTAAATTTTCTGTAGTATTAATGTATAGTCTGGGACGATATTGTCAACCACTATTCTGTAGTGGATTTCATTTCAAATGTTAGCTTTTGAAAAGCAGCCGCTGTCTGCACTGTACTGTGCTTTCTTGTGACAATTTTGGTGGTGGTGACAAAATAGGATGTGGTACCTCATCTCATTATGCATAAGTATGTCAGGTTCTTTTTTAGAGAATATGATCTGGTTAATTTACCATCTATCCCCAAATCTAGGAAGAAGTCAGTTTAGATACTCTAGGAATCTTCTGTAAATGCTTTCATACACAGAACCATGCCTGATAAATTCTTTTACGGGTGAGAGAATCCCAAGAATGTTGTTACTTATTCATTCAACAAACATTGCACTGTATGCAACAGTTTTGTGATATTCCTTGGAAGTAAAGATGGGGTCTTGGCTTTGAAGCTGTTAAAGACCCTCACTCTTGAAAGCTGGTGGTGGTTTAGCTGCTTGCTTTTTCTATACTTTTTTCTTCATTTTGATTGTTAATTTTGCTTCCTGTGTGAACTCCAAATAACTCTTCTCGTTGGCTTTTAGTTTTTTTTTTATTTATATATGCTTGCTGATTTTTCCTTAGACTTAATTTTTTGATCTAGTTATTTTCTGAGTTAGGCCCCACTTTCTCATTTGCTTTTTAGCTGTGTGTGTGTCTCCCTTTGGAGCCTTTTAACTAATACTGTAACTCCATTCTTGTCTGTACCATCTCTGAGATACCTGGCTGCTGTATTCCCTTAAATTAGTAAGAATAATAATGAATACTGTAATGTAGATGTTCATTCTGGAGTTCAGAGTGCATCTTTGATGTTATTTCTGCCTTTTAAAGATGTTAAGTGGTGATTTTTCCCTCATTTAATACTTACATGTTTAGTCATTATGCTTAGACTCCAGATTTTCTTTTATTGCTAAGATATGTTTAAAAGTAAGCTTTTTAAGTGCATATGAATAATTTTATTATTGGCATTTATAGTCCTTTAGATTTTTGTCTTTCAGTAAATTTGAATTCAAATACATACAGGTAAAGATTCATATATGTAGAGTCAGAATCATTATCCAAAGCCAAATGCAAGTGAGTTAGGTTATCTGTGTGCTCAGCATGTATAAGTAACAGTATAAGAACAGGTTACTGTATTTATTGAACTAATTTCAGATTTGTTGCTTTTCCATTTGGATTTTTAAAAAATCTGGCTTTAGAGAATATCTAACAACTTAAGACTTAAAGTGCTATGATTTGTAACTTGCATTTTACATAGCAAGTTAAATATGTGGAATTCATAAGATGTGTTTGTCTTTCTCAAGATTGGGATGTACTGGCATTTATCAACATGAAAACATACTTTTTTCTAGTAATAACAAGACTTTTTAATGGCGCCTTAGATTTCCTTGAAAAGTGCTGGTTCAGAAATAATATGTAATAGGACTTTAAATAAACTGTAAAAAGTAAGAAAGCAAGGATTAAGAAGGATTATCAGTCCTAGAAATCTTCAGGAGAGGCATTATAATATAGTATGTACAGTTAAGAGTTAGAGATTTTCTCCTCTAGCGTTTATTAAAGAGAATGTAGATTACTGTAAATTAAGGGACATTGTGTTACAGTATAATTTAAAAGATTCTTTAGGTGAATTAAGTTATTTCTTATATATTCTGTGATCTGTCTGCAAAACATACATTCTTTTGTTTAAAGTAACCAAAAGCAAGGATCTTAAGGTACAATCATTAGATCTGTGTAGCTTGGGCATGTTTTTAAAGGTGCAGCTGACGTGCAAACCTCAGAAATACGAACATTCAAAACAGGTTGAATTTGTACGTACATAGAATTTTAAAACTCTTTCCATTTGGTTAAATACATTTTTTTCTTGAGGACTGGTTCAAAATGATTCTTTTACCAAGTAAAATTTACCAACTTCAGATTTCAGGATGATGACAGTATAAATAAGTTCAGTAATGAGGATGTTTTTACAGATACTCTGTAAAGCTGTTACACAGAATTTCCAGCCTCGTGGGGGTTGTCCCATTCTTCTCATCATACATCTCTGAATTAACTGTAAGAAACTTAATAGATGTATTTGGAATACTTGTTAGGAACATGTTTTTGGGGTAGTAGCTTTGTTCAGTTAATTAACTGAAAAATAGTCTTTATGGGTACTTTAATAAATTTGCGTAGCTTTTTAGTTAGCATTTAGATATATGAGTACAAAGGAAAATTGCCTTTAGTGGTTTGGTAACCACTGTTTTTAAAGATTTCAAAGTTTTTAGCTGCATAAAGTTTTTATCTTGTCATTTAGCCATATCTGGAGAAATTTGGAAATGTATTTTCATCTAATTTTCAAACAGGTTACTGTACTACCTTCAAGGAATTGTTCAGTAGGGACCATTTGGGGATAATTGGTATTTTTATAGTTTTTAAAATACATTTTGGTAATGTTTCAATCTTCGCACGTTGCATAGTAGACTGATACTTTTATAATATATGGCCTTATGGTTATTCAGATAACTACATTTTGAATGAAATGAAATATGCTTTGCATTTGTAAAGTTAGAAAGTACTTTGAAAATGAACAGTTTCATTTGATCCTCATGTTGACGTTGGAGGGTGGATAGAACAGGTAGAATCCTTGTTTAATAGTTTTACAAGTGAGAACTTTATTTGTATAAAATTGAACGAATAGTGGCAAAGTGAAGTCTAGAAAAGCTGATAAATTGTATACACCGTCAGAGATGAAACATTTAGGCATAAAAGCTTATTTGTTGTGTGTTTATTATACATAAAGATGATTTTGCTTGTATCCTCTTAATGCTTTTACCAAACTACCCCAGTGGTTACATCTTACCTAATGATAGTACAATATCAGAGCCAGGGCATTGACTTTGCCTTTGTGTAGTCGTTCTAGACCCAGTTACTACATGTTATTGTTTTACTTGTCAAACTTAAGTTTTAATGTGAAAGCTTGTCAAAATTTTCAGTATGAAGAAGCCATTTTTCTCAAGCTCTTATATTCAGAGACTTGTTTCCAAAGCAACTTGAAAATTTCACAAAGAATCTAAAATTGACTAATACTTGGATTTCAGTACCATTGACTAATGCTAAGTATTTTTCTGTAGTGAAAATAGGAGCTAAATATTACCTATTTTATTGGTCCATGCTTTATAGTAACAGAGTAAACTAGGCAAATATGTTTGCATTGTATTTCCTTAGGTCAATTAAAAAACCACAGCAAACAGGTATTCCATTTCAAGAGAATAAGGTTGGCTGATAGTCTTAAAATTTCAACTCCGTAGTATTTTTTTTTCCTTAGGTTCAGGAAATATATACTTTAACCTTTTGTGCATGTATATGAACACATATCATGTCATTTGTCTCACTGTCATCACATTTTAACATTCTGGTTATTTTTAAAGAGATAGTTATTATGTGTTTATGATGTAATGGTATTTCTGTTTCACAACCAAAAATATTTCAAAGTGGTTCACTGATCTTTTAAGCCAGTCTTAAATTGAACTGTTTTTAAGTTGTGCAAGATGTAAGTTGTTGGTATTACATACTTAGGATTTGGGTCCATAATTTAAAGAAAATTTATATATCTTATCTCTCTGTTAAGCATCTGTTTTAATGGATATATTTTTAGCTGGAAAGAGTGATGATAGCATTGAGCTGTGGCATCTAGGAATTCTGTGGCTTGGGAGTCATCTGTATCTGTA